TATCTGGAGCTCTTGGGGTCGTTGGTGTTGTACGGGATGTCGACTTGAATTCGGGGGTGAATTCCTGGTTAGTGGGGGAGAGTTGTGATATCCTGACCCAAGCCCATGAAAATTTATGCTACAAAACCCATTTTCGGAGTCAAAAGCCCACCAGCCCAGGCGCAATCCGAAAACTAACCTAGGTCTTCTCCCTCTCCCTGTATAAATAGAGCTGCCTCCCTTCAGTTTCTGCACAGAAATTCTTCAGCGAAGCTGTAGCATCTGTATCCGAGAAAATTCAGAATGATTGAGCTGGACAGGGCAATGTCCGAGGAATGATCGAGCCAAGGACAGATTTTTGCAAGGAACTGGGAGGTTCGGACTATGGTCGGGTGATGACTAGGAAATAGTCGGACGGATGGCTGGGATAGCCGAGCCGGATGGGCCATATCCGAGAGAAAATGGTCCAGTCCGTGAGAAAATGGGATTTACCCGAGTGAGAGTGAGGTTAGTCCGAGTGACAGTGGACTGTCTCCGTAGGAAAAAGGAAAACCTCAGAGGGAAAAAGAAGATTAGCCGAGGTGGGACGAGTTGTCAGAGAGAAAAGGGAATATCCAGATGGAAAATGGAAATAACTCGGATAAGGGCGGTTTATCCGAGAGGGAAGGGAACTGGGCCGTGGGCCAAGTGTTTTGTTGGTTATCGCGTGGATGGTCAGTCGGTATGGGAAATAACCGAGAGATATCGGATCGATTTGGGATATATCCTACTGGAACCAAGAAAACGTCGGTTAAGTCCGAGTTACCTAGGGTTTTGCGAGTATATAAGGATTTTTGAGACCTAACTCGAGGGTGTTGCGTTTATTTGAGCTAAATAAAGCAAAGAGAGAGTTTAGTCGAGATAAAACCCTAAGAAAAGTAGTTTATCCCGAGGACATCCGAGAGAGATCTAGCTATCGCCGAGCAGATCTGACAATCGTCGAGATAAATCAGTAAGCGACTGAATAATTCCTTAAGTATCGAGTTTCCATCGGATAACCTCGAGCTAATAGCCTTGTTTTGTGGGGTTTCCGAGGGTAAACAGAGTTTGGCTCAGAGAAAGGTTAACGGATCGAGTGATAGCAGAAGGGAAAGGGATCGGATCGTACGGACAGCCGAGAGATTCCTAGGGTGATCGGATATCTTCATTTCCACGTGGATTTCATCGGAATTTCTTCTGACCAATCTGTTTCCAACCTTTTTTAAGTTAAGTGAGTGACTGTGGTTGGTGTCTAGGATCGTTGGATTGCTAGGGTTGAATGTTTTGCATGTTTGATTGTGTGATTGTCATGTTGTGTGTTAGAACTGTTAAGAGATTTTGTGTTATGGTATTGTGAGGTGTTTACCGTGGCATAGATGATGTCTAGCTAACCTCAGGGTAATCCGGATCATGTACTAGCTTAGGGGATGTGGGATTCTCGCTGAAGTGGACATGGGTCTTAAAAAGGGATTGATCTTGGTTGGTTATGTTAGATGATCATAGCCGTTTGATATATATGTTATGTCTATTGCGAATTGATTGTGTGGGATGTTGAATCCGATAGTATGAATGTGTGATTGGTACTGACCATGTGTTACGGGATGACCGTACTCACTAAGTATTTATCAAATACTTATGCCTCTCTTCTTGAGTGTGCAGGTACTAAGCAGTAAAGGGAGCGAGACCAGGCGGCAGTGATGGACATGGATGGATCGGGGATTAGGTGTTTATTTATGTTTAAGACGTGTGTTTTGTCTTATGGGCTTTGGTGTTACGCGTTTTAGGTTGCTAGATGATTGATGTATTCATTAGCGAACCGTTCTGATTTGTTTAAGTTAACCCCGAAACTGATTAAGTGTTTTTATGCAAGTTTATTAATGAAATGACTTGTTTCTGAATTCACTGTGTATTGGTTAAATGAAAGAAAAAGTTTAAAATTTTGGCTAAGTATAGAACCAAACTGTTAGGATGTAGTGGGGCACGGCTGCGGTATAGTTTGCCGGGTCAGGCTACCATAAGTTGGTATCAGGGCGTTTTAACGCTTATAGGACTGAATGTTGGTGACTGCTGTTGTTTGTTTGTTTGGGGTTTAAGGGGGTTCGATCCATTCTTCACTGCCAAGGTTTCGCGGTTAGGTTTTGTGTGTTGTGTTGTGAAACATGTTTTGAGTTAGCTTCGGCTAACTGGCATGATTGTACTTGCAGATGGTTGATACCAAGAGAACCGTGAGGAATCATGAGCACCAACAGGCTGCTGGGTCTGTGAACTCAGGAAACGGTGATGTTTCTGAGAGGGCAAGGGAAGCCGAGAGATGGGCAGCTGCGGTTGCAAATGAGGCGGCTATAGTGGCAGCCGAGGTTGCAGTAAGGAATGCTGTGGATGCTGAGAACGTGGCAAGGAATGCTGCAGGTGCAGCTGGGGTTGCTGCGAATGTAACACCGGTGGGGTTAGAGGCTGTGCTTGGGATGTTGGCACATGTACTGGCCAGACTATCTGCGGTGGCTCCTGCTCCGGCGGTTGCAGCAGCACCACAAGTGGTACCACCATTTGGTGTTAATGAGGATGTGGTTGTTGAGGAAGCGGACCAAGTGGAGAGGGTTCCAAGTTACCTCAAGGTTTTGGATCACATGGTGCGGTTGGAAACCAAGTTCTTTGCTGGAGGTTCTACACCGATTGAGGCAAATGAGTAGAGGATGAGACTGGAAAGGAATTTTGTGTCTATCCGATGTCTAGAGGGTTATAAGAGGGACATAGCCGTGCACTACTTGGAGGGTGATGCACACACGTGGTGGAAAGGAATCGTTGGAAGGCTGGTGAATGTGAATTGTTCATATGAGACATTTTCAGCGATGTTCAGGAGTAAGTACTTCCCACAGGAAGCTTACAACGAGTTAGAGAAGGCGTTTCTGTACCTTAGTCAGGGGACGCTTACAGTGAGGCAGTTTGAGACCAAGTTTAACCAGCTGAGGAAGTATGTGTCTCATGAGTTTGACACGGAGGAGAAGCTGATTCGTAGGCCTATGAGCGGATTGCGAGTTGAGCTAAGGAACAGATGTGTTGTCTGTGACTTCAGGACAGTGGCTGAGCTTGTTGAGAAGGCGGCATTGTTGGAGTCAGGACAGGCGGAAGCTGCTTTGATGACAGCTGGGGCTAGTACAGCCGTGACCAAAGGTGGGCCAGTCTAGTGGACAGAAACGGAAGTTCGGGAAAGGAGCACCGAACAAAGGATCTGGGGGACGCAGCGTGTGCAGCAAGTGTGGCAAGGCTCACGTCGGCGAGTGTAGGCGCGGTGGTAGTGGATGCCACAGGTGCGGGAGTTTAGAGCATCGGGTACGAGACTGTCCGGAGGAGGATCTGCGCGTGGTTCATGTGTCCGACAGTGACAGTGCGGTTCGGTGTGCTACGGTTGTGGAGAACCAGGGCATTTCAAGCGTGAGTGTCCTAAGGTAGGAGTGGTGGAGCAAGCCGTGGCTCAAGGGAAGAGAGCAGGGGAGGCGCTTGCATCACAGGCCAAGAGACAGGCCATTATGCCGAGAGTGTACACGACGAGTGCAGCAGCAGCTGAGGAACCGAGCACTTCTCATCCAATCACTGGTATGTGTGGTACATAAAGTTTTGTGAACTGCTTTTGCATGTTGTGTGTCTGTATAGAGTCTTAGCATTATAGGGAATGAATGTGTATGGACCTTGCTAATGGGTGAGGTTGAGATCCATGTTCTGTTTATCTCGGGAGCGAGTCATTGTTTTGTTAACCCGGATATTATCGGGAAGGGACAGTTCCAGAAGAAACCTGGAGAGGACTTTGGGTTAGTTCAGGCGGCTGGAGGCCAAGTGATGTTTTCACTAGGAACGGTCAAGAATGTTCCAGTGATGTTTGGCGAAGTGAACATGCCAGCAGATCTAGTGATCTGTAGAGTTAAGTCCTACGATGTCATTTTGGGGATGGACTGGTTAGGCAAGCACAAAGCTCATTTGGATTGTCACCGTGGAAGGGTGCGGTGTGAGAGAGACGGAGAGCTCTTGATTTATCAGGGAGTTTGACCAACCTCGAGAAGTTTGGTGGTTTCAGCTATTCAAGCAGAACGGCTGATAGAGAAGGGTTGTGAGGCGTATCTAGCAACAATCACTACCACAGAAGGAGGACCGGATGTTGACTTAGACAGTATACTAGTGGTCCAAAATTTTGAGGATGTCTTTCAGACGTTGGCTAGTGGAAGTAGTCGTTGCATTAAAACATGGCAATCATGACTTTTCATTCCGGTTAACTTTCCTCCTGTTAGATCAACACAGTTAGATAAACTTGATGAATATCCATCTGCAAATTTTAACATCCTTTGCTAGCCATTGTAGAAAAACTGTTTTTGCATCAGCTTGTAGTCTAAAAATTGGGATTGGTGCCTTTCCATCAGTCATCAAGTGCAACTCTTTGCGATTACAATGCTTTTGCAAATCAAGTCGTGATTTGATGTTGTCTTTTGTTTTCCCCTTCACATTCAGTAAGGTGAAGCTGATCACAAATTCTTCAGGTCATAAGCTGTTTCACGCAACAGAAATAAGATCATCAATTCTCTTTCGATCAATTCTCTTTCGATGATAAAAAAATAATAATTAAATGAGTCTGCAGTATTGATTTTGGGTCGTGAATATTGGTTTAATACTGGGTTTCGGTTTAATTTTAGTGTGTTGCTTACACAATTTAAATCATTTTTGGTTTAAGTGTTTTGAAGGTTTTAGTGGACAGTAACTTCTGCATTGGCTTGACTTTTTCTAATTGGTTAGAGGTTTAGGCACCGTGAGTGATGGAAAGTGCAAGAAATTTAGCATCAGATGATCTTGAGATTTTTGGATTAGTCTCTCAGTTTTATGCTATCCTCTGAGGGTTTTAGAGGATTGTAACTTCTGCATTGGCTTGACTCCTATATTTCTTGGGGATTTCGGGATCATAGAGGGATGTCAATTTAGCATCAGAATGATCTGAGATTTTGGGTTTATCGAATGCAGGAGTAACAGGAGGAGGAGCTGGATTACTGTCAAAACATAGGAAAGCCCATACCAATATACCCGTTACTTATGCTACTAATTTCGGTATTGTTGCTGGTTGCTATTGCGGTAACTAAGAAGCTCTCTGCGTTGACTATGAAAATTATCTTAGACTCGTTTTTGTTTGTTTCCATTTGTTTCTAGATGAAGTGAGTGTGATCTTTCGTTTCTCAGGGGCTCGTGAATTGGTCAGAGAAACTAGAAAATCAGAACACGGCGATTTAATCAATGATGGGAACTTGCTGGATATCATCATTCTAATTTGTTTGCTACTGATCAGATGGCCCGCACCAGGCAAACAGCTCGCAAGTCTACTAGAAGGAAAGGCCCCTAGGAAGCAGCTTGCTACTAAGGTAAGTCTCCACTATTTTGATCTGTGTAATTTATTTGTCACATTGTTGGATTTTTTTTATGATTGCTTGTTTCAATTTTAGGCTACACGTAAGTCTGCCCCAACCACTGTTGGAGTCAAGAAGCCCCTTCATTACCGTCCTGGAACTATTGCACTTCGGTATGTTAACGTATTTAAACCTGTTTCATGAAAAAGTTAACGTATTTTTATTAGTTTAATATAATAATTTACCAAAATGTTACCTTTTTTATGTACCGCCATAAATTTTCGTAAGGAGCCTTAAAATTTCATTAACCGCTTTAATTTTTGCCAAAATTTCCCCCACTCATTGAAACCCTGAAAAAGTGTCAAAATTATTTAACCATCTTCCTACTCCCTATCAAAACCGTTCTTTCGTCACTTGTCTTTTATTAGAAGCGATTATTTTGTCTTTCATTTCAGAGATCTCATTGGAAGGTAATCGTACATAATTCTGCGTTTGTAGAAGTTAATCTATAGTTGAATTTGTATTCCTTTTTTAATCGTATTCCTCTCTTCAATCCGTGTTGTTTGCTTTATTGATATTCAATACAGAGATCAATTATCATCTGTATTCATAGTGTAGATATGGAAGAGCCACATGTGGATCGTACAACTTTGCCTGTGCTGCATCCTGGTCGACAAAATGGAGCTAAATGGTATAGAATTTTTCCTATATACCATTGATTATTTTCAGAGATTTAGAACTCATTAAGTTATTTATTTTAATGAAACAGGTTTAACCACCACACCCAAGTATCAACTGCTGTGAGAAAGATCATTCAAAGTTGTTTCAAAGGACCATGGTACTCTTGGAAAAGAGTGCCAGTTTTCTACAAACAAACATGGTTTAGTCTGTTCAAGGTAATCTTTGTTCCCCAGCTTACTTGTATCCCGTAGGAGTAATGTGGTCAGTTTTAGTGCTGGATATATATATATATATATATATGTTCAAGTAGTTTCTGGTAGCTGAATCAATGAAGCCTGTTTTAAAATTAAGTCTCTGTTTTGATGGCTGAAGTCTTTTTAGCTCTGAATTGTGATTAGGCAGATCTTTATAATCGTGACTGAAATGAAAACGCTAGTGCTTATGTAGTGACACTACCTGGAATATTGCCTCGATGATATTCATGATGTTTGATATTCTTTCTTTTTAGCTTGCTGCTTATCGTCTCCGAGGAATGATAAGCCATGTAAAGAAACAAGGAGAAAAACCAGAGTGGATTTTGTTTGATGATTGGACCGCTATGCAATTGTATTGGGCAACACCAAAAGCAAAAGGAAAGAGTGAGAAGGCCCGTGCTTCTCGAATGTCTGATCGCAATGATTTAGGCCCTCATTCTCACATATCCGGTTCACGTTCATATGCCAAAGTTCAAGGTGTTTTGGTACATTTTTTTTTTTTCGTCGCTGATAAATAGTGAAGTTTATTGTATTGCATCACTTTGTTTTATTGTTTTGTTTACAGGAAGCAAACAATGAAGACCACTCTTACATTGCTGTGATGAAGAAAGCAAATCAGAAGCCTGACGGAACATATGTTGATCAACGAGCTAGAGTGGTTGCAGAAACTTATCAGAAGCATGTACAAGAACACTTGGAACAGCTTGAATTTTCTGGTGAAGGGAATGTGACGGCTGAAAATCTTGACCAACGTGAGAAAAATGAAATTTATATTAAGGTAATATTTCAGAATTTTATAGTGCTTTACGATTTTCTTATCAAATGTTTGCAAGTAGTTTTGTTATTGATAGGAACCTATTATGAGTTGATCTGATCTTCGTTTTTTATTAGTCTTCATACAACGTAGCAAATAGATTCTGGTTTGGCTTTTTTGTTGAAGTTATCATTGTCATGTATAAATAGATTCTGGTTTGTTTTTTTTGTTAAAGTTATCGTTGTCACATATAAGTAGATTCTGGTTTGTTTGTTTTTTTTTAAGTTATCATTGTCAACATACGTAGCTTGCTCATATACGTAGCTAATGACTTTACTCAATTTTTGGTATTTTGTCTAGGCTGCTGGGCCATCTAAACAAGGCTATGTCTTTGGACTGGGAGCTCTAAAGGAATTTGTTGTACCATCTGCTAATGCTTCTTCAAGTCAACCACAACCAGAAGAAGCAGAGATGATTGCAAATCGGCTGCAAGAGTTGGAAGCTGAAGTCAAACAAAATCATGAAGAAAATCTGGAAATTAAAAAAAGACTAAGCTATGGAGAAGATGGCTGAGTCTTTTGCAAATCAGAATGCTTAAAGCTACTAAAACCATCCATCGTCCATCATCTATCTAATTTAGTAATTCTAGTTTCTTTTTATTTTAAGTAATGTTTAGTTTTTATTTTATTAAGACTTTTTATTTTATAAATTCTGTTTGTGTATTGACTTTGCTTCGACATAAGTAATATAATGTTTGGTTTATTATATTTTAGTTTTACTGTTTTATTAATTAATTATCTAATTTAAAAAATGTGAATTGAAGTAACAAAAAATATTTGGTCTAAATATTTTGTATCGATTTTAGTAAGAAAAATAGTTACAATAAAAAACAATTATAACAATTATGTTATTATATTGTAGTTACTAAATGTGACGGGTTTGTAACAGTATTGTGGTCATTAATTGTGTTTTTTTTTATTATAATTTAGTAACTAGTTATAACAAATTTTGTGATATTATTGTTTGTCATAATTTATAGCGGATTAGTAACGTAAATATAGTAAGAATTTGTTATAAATATGTGACAATTTTTTTGTCACAGCTTGTGACCTAATTGTGATAGTTTTTTTTGTCATAAACTGTATCGTTTTTGTGACTGTTTTAATATCGTTACAAATGGTGACACATTGTTACTATTGTCAATCGTCACACTATGTTATGACGTTTTTATGACTAAAATGGCTTTGTGACGTTTTTATTGTGATCTTTAATAATTTGTAATATTACCGTTACAATATAATTTTTGTGACGGAAAAATTACATATTGTGACAAAAATATTTGTAACAATATCTACTTTTTTTTGTAGTGGCTGGACTGCCACCAGCTCGTTCAGATCCGTTCACGATTGAACTTGAGCCGGGGACAGCTCCATTGTCCAAAGCACCATACCAGATGGCGCCAGCGGAGATGGCTGAACTGAAGAAGCAGCTAGCGGAATTGCTGGACAAGGGGTTCATAAGGCCAAGCAGTTCACCATGGGGTGCGCCAGTGTTGTTTGTGAAGAAGAAGGATGGAAGCTTCAGGCTTTGCATTGATTACCGCGGATTGAACCGTGTGACCGTGAAGAACAAGTATCTACTTCCTAGGATAGACGAGTTGTTGGACCAACTTAGGGGAACTACTTGGTTCTCTAAGATCGATTTGGCATCAGGATACCATTAAATACCCATAGAAGAGACAGATGTGCGTAAGATTGCCTTTAGGACAAGTATGGTCATTACGAGTTTGTGGTCATGCCGTTTGGTTTGACGAATGCGCCAGCTGCATTAATGAAGCTCATGAATGGCGTATTCAGGGAGTACCTAGATGAGTTTGTGATCATTTTCATAGATTATATTCTAGTATACTCAAAGGGTGAGGAAGAACATAGAAGTCATTTGCGGACTGTTCTGGAGAAGTTGCGAGAACAGAAGTTATATGCCAAGCTCAGTAAGTGTAGCTTTTGGCAACGGCATATAGGGTTCTTGGGTCACATTGTGTCGGATAAGGGAGTGTCCGTGGATCCAGAGAAGATTCAAGCCATTGCAGATTGGCCTAGACCAAAGAACGCTATAGAGATAAGGAGCTTTCTGGGGCTAGCTGGTTATTACAGGCGGTTTGTCAAAGGCTTTGCAAGCATGGCTCAGCCAATGACAAAGCTGACTGGTAAGGACGTGGAGTATGTCTGGACGGATGAGTGTGAAGAGTGCTTCTCAAAGTTAAAGGAGTTACTCACTAGTGCACTGATATATCATTGTTTTTATGGTTTTTAACCATGATATAAGTCCTTTTTATTGATTCTTTTGGTCTTTTTGAAGTCCTAGTAGAGTCTTTGCAGGTTATAGCATATCTAGGGCATAATTGGGGATATTGAAGCTTTTTGGAGCATTGCAAGTTGAAGCCAAGAAGTGCCTAGGTCGAGAAGAAAAGTACGCATTTGGGTGACGCTCGTCACCACTCTTAGTGACGCTCGTCACCCATCAAGGAAGGAGTGTGGCTTCATTTATTAAAAGTATGAAGACTATTTGCAGAATTGGCCCAGAAGTTCCTATATTTGCAAAAAGACCCCAGATCGTGTTTCGCCTCTATTTATTAGGTTTTTCAGCCATTGTTGGCTTTTATCTTAGTATTTAAGAATTCAGAGAGTTTAAGAGAGATTTAATCAGAGCTTTTTTGGGAGACAGATCTTGTACTCTTTTTGGAGAAGATTACAAACCCCCTTTGTTTTTATTCTATTCTTTTAATGCAAATTCATACAGTTATGTTTTGTGATTCCATGATCATGTCTGAGTAATCTGCTAGTTAAGTTAGGGCTTTTTCAAAGCTTGATGAAGAGTTTGTAGAATTGCTTCATGTTAGGAATATCTTTTGGTTTTCATCTTTACTTGCTTTAAAATCGAATTTCCTAGAGACATCATCTAGAAATCCAAAAATCCTAGGTTGTTAAATATATGTGAGAGCATTACTGATAACCTGAACTAGTATTTGATGAGCAAAACAACTTAGTGCAAAGAGATTTGGCTTAGGAGTTTTGTGAACAATTGAATCTGATCATATTGCATGTTTAGGTTGTTAGGATTTGCAAAGAGATTGGAAACTCTGTGATTTAAACATAGTTAACTTCTGCAATGAGTATTGATTAGTTATATATTTGATATTCATGTTCAAAACGGTTCTTAATCATTCCTGATTTCATACATTCTACATTCTCGGATTCAACCCGCGAACTGTCCTGACTTAGCGCTTTTAGTCTTCTGAAACATAGATCAACAACTTGAATATCATTTGCTTACATTTAATTTGTCATTCGCATTACATACTGCTTAGCTTAATCTGAACCTACATTCGATAGTGTAGTTTTCATTACTCCTTTGGGATTTGATACCCCTTGTACTACAACTGCTTTTGTTGTGCACTTTTTCAGTTTCTTTTCTTTGTGCTGGTTTCAGGTGTATGCCTAATCGCAGTACCAGAAGCAACAAAGAGAAGGAGCTTGTGACTTTGAGCATCGACGAGCTTGCTAGGTTGGAGAGAACTAACAGGAAAGCTAAGAAGCAATCTACAATGGTCGCTCCACTTATCTTGGTTGAAGATGCAGAAGGTCACTTGGTTGACAGGGAAGGAAACAGGAGGAACGAAGAGGGGCAGAGAATTGATCAAGAGGGGAATGTCATTGTTGAACAGCAGGTTCAGCAAGTGGCTGAGAACGTGGGGGTCCCTGCTGCTGTCAATAACGCTGCTGGGCGTTTTGTTCAGAGGACTCTAGGTGACTACAACAGACCTGATCAGTTCTATGCCAACAGAGCTGCAATCCGACCTCCTGCCTTCCAGAGGAAAGATTTTGAGGTTAAACCTGTCTACTATCAGCTGGTTAGCCAGCATCCATTCCATGGCTTACCTCATGAGCATCCTATGGATCACATAGAGAGATTTGAGGACTTGGCTTCCAGTGTCAAAGCTAATGGGGTTAGCAATGACTTTCTGTTCTGCAAGCTGTTTCCTTACTCTCTTGAAGGAGAAGCTGCATATTGGATGAAGCAACTGGAGCCTGCTTCATTAACTACTTGGGAGGACACCAAGAATGCCTTTCTGAATAATTTCTATGATGATGCAAGATCAGAGGACATGAGGACGAAAATTGCTTCCTTTACGCAAGGCCCTACTGAAGCTTTTAAGGCTTCTTGGATCAGGTTTAAGTCCTATCAAAGGGACTGTCCTCATCATGGCTTCAGTCAGGTGCAATTACTTGGGATCTTCTTCAGAGGCATTAACTGGAAGTACCAGATGGCGCTGGATGCTTCAAGTAGTGGAAACTTCAACACCAACAGACCAGAAGAAGCTGTAAGATTGATTGAAAACTTGGCCTGCAGTAACAGCACTAAAAATGCAGATTTTCAGAGAAAGCAGCAGGCTGGTTTGAATGATGGAAACCAAATAGCTGAAGTTAAGGCTAAGTTAGACAGCATGCACAGCCTTCTGGTGGGAAAGAAGTCAGTTCAGTTTGCTGCAGAAGTGGAGAGTTTCGAAAATCCTGAAGAATTTGAGCAGAAAGATGTTAATTTCATCAATGGAGGGGGTTTTCAGAACCAAAGGTTTGGAAATCAGCAGTGGAACAGAGGCTACAATGGCAACAATCAGAAGAACACATTTCCAGGAAACCAGAATGCTTTTGGTTATACTCCAATACCACAGTTCCCCACTCTTTATGTGATCTAAGGTCGGATATTAACTTGATACCTTTCTCTGTTGCTGCTAGACTTGGAATGACTGAGTTCAAGCCAGCTGGGATCTCTCTCATCCTAGCAGATCGATCTATAAGAACCCCAGAAGGCATCTTAGAGGATGTTCCTGTTAACATTGAAGGCTGCATAGTTCATACAGATTTTATGGTTCTGAAATATGCTGAAGAATCTAAAGATCCTCTTATTCTGGGAAGACCATTTTTGGCTACTGCTGGCGCCATCATTGATGTGAGAAAGGGGAACATTGAGCTTGATCTTGGTGATGTCGTCATGAACTTTGACATGGATAAGCTGAGAGGGATTTCTACCATTGATGGTCAGACCTTTTCTGTAAGGACTTCCAGAGATGAAGAGCCAGTCATGGAACATTCAGAAGACATTACTGCTGGCTATGTCACTGAATCTGATACAAGTGGGCAAGTGAACAAGACGGCTGTTCAAGTGGCAATATCTGAATCTTCTACCAAAGCTGTTGGGTTTGAGGATTGCAGTGAGGATCATATCTTCATAACTAGGCTTGAAGAAGAGGTTCTCATCAATGCCAAGTTGTTGGAGGAAGACGTGTTTTTGATGGAGACAAGACTTGCAGAGCTGAATTGCAAAAAAGTTGCATAAACTCGAACTGCAGGGTCAGTGACGACCGTCACTAACCTGGTGACGCTCGTCACCAACCTGGACACAAATGATCGACATGATCTTACAGCTATAAGTCCATCTGATGTTGCCAAACCGAAAATTCAACAATCCACAACCCAGAAACCTGCAACTAAACAAAGTTATGCAGTTCCTGGAACCAATTTCAAACCTCATAATCTCATCAATAAGAATTTAAAAGGTGCAACAGCTGCTTCACACTTATGCAAGCAACGAGATTCTCGTAGAATGCTTGGTGTTTCTTTTGATGATTTTGCAGGAAAACGAAGTGTATCACCCACAGTCACGACCCACCCTGCTGATGTACCTCACTTCCTTGGAAGAACTCATG